GGAGGCTGAGACAAGAGAATGGCTTAAACCCAAGAGTTTGAGGTTGCTGTGAGCTGGGATGCCACATCACTCTACCGAGGGTGATGTAGTGAGACTCTATCTCCAAAAAAAAAAGATAAAAAGATATGCCAAGTAATACACAGATATCACTGGGTAAGCCCAAGAAAGTAGGGTGGAGGAGGTAGAGGCAAAGCTATTTCAGTGAGTAAATATTTGAACAATCACTTAAATGAACGTAATATTTAAGTTTAAATGCTGAATACTGAATTTAATACTGAGTACCTATTCAACTAGATACGGTGGCACTCAGGAGGGATTCAAAGATGGTTGCAGATCCCGAGCCTGGAGGAGTCACAGGTTGGTGGAGACAGGCAAAAAATTGAACAATTATAATCCAATAAGTTAGGTCTGTAACAGTGGTTTTCTTTTGTCTTTTTTATAAAAACAAAATCCATTTTTGTTTTTTATTTTAAAATTGAGTTATTTTTTATTTTTGAGATAGTCTCCCTCTGTTGCCTTGGTTAAAGGGCTGTGGCAACATCATAGTTCACAGTAACCTCAAACTCTTAGGCTCAAGCGATCCTCTTGTTTCTCTTGTTTTAGCCTCTAGAATAGCTGGAACTACAGGTGCCCGCCACAATGCCTGGCTAGTTTTTCTGTGTTTAGTAGAGATGGGGTCTTGCTCTTGGTCAGGCTAGTGTTGAACTCCTGAGTTCAAGCAATGCACATGCCTCAGCCTCCCAGAGTGCAAGGATTACAGGTGTGAGGCACTGTACCCGCCCCATAACGGTAATCTTCAACCAGTGTGCCACCAGAGGCTCTTAGGTGTGGTCTGAAATGTTTTAAAGATCATTAATTAAATTATATTCAAAAGAAGTTCAGAGCACAGTTATATATAGTCTTTTTTTTAAATTCTTTTTTGTTAACATAATTTAAGTGTGCTATGGAAGTTTAACTATAGGTTCAAGTGTGCTGTGAGATAAGAAAGGTTGAAAAACATTGGTCTATAGAACACAAATCCTTTTTTGGGGGGGAGGGCGGGGCTGGGTTTGACCCACCACCTATGAGGCCAGCGCCCTACTCCTTTGAGCCACTGGCGTCACCCAGAACACATTCTTTTTTTTTTTTTTTTTTTTTTTTTTTTGA